ACTTACAGCTAGCTTACTAGTCAAGTTGTATCATTATATACCATTTCTGTTTCGTGCTCACTGACTTTTTGAGTAATTTCATTTTCCTAGGCCTCCCTCAGATTGGAGGGCAAAACAGTGTTGGGGTTAAGTACATGGGCAATGAATATTAGGCTTCCTGGATAGTGATCCCAGTTCTGTATTTATCTAGCTTTGTGATCTTGGACTGGTTGTTTAATGATTTTTAATATTGGTTCCCTCACTTATAAAACGGAGAATAATAATATAGTGTTGTTGTGAGGTTTAAGAGATAACATACGTAAACTGCCTAGCAAATGGTAAAATGATAAACTTCATAGAGAAGTAGTAAGACTAGTAAAGTAATAATAATAGTGGTAGCAAGCTAGGTGCAGTGGCTCAGCCTGTAATCCCAGCACTTTGGGAGGCCAGGATGAGAGAATTGCCTGAACCCAGGGGTTCGAGACCAATCCAGGCAACTTGGTGAGACATCATCTCTACAATAAATCACAAAAACTAGCCAAACGTGGTGGTGTGCATCTGTAGTTCCAGCTACTTGGAAGGCTGAGGTGGAAAGATCTTCTGAGCCCAGCAGGTCGAGTCTACGGTGGCTGTGAGCATGCCACTGCACTCCAGCCTGGGTGACAAGAGTGAGATTAAAAAAAAAATAGTGGTAGCAAAAATAGTTTGGGTATCCCGGCAGGGAGAGAGAAAGTTTCATTGCTCAAAAGGAAAAGTAAATCTTGTTTTCAGATATTTATAGAGACTGAAAAGGTCTTTTATCTAAAACCAATTAAGTTTTTGTTTTCATCTTTGGCAGTACATATTTCACTCTTAAGTTTTCACTCTCACAAACTAACACATTTCAAGTGTACATATATTTGATAATAATGGTAGCTAGTAAAAATCAAATAAGGATATAAAATATAACTGCATAAGGAATCACTGGGAAATTGTTCACTTTTTTGTATTATAATGACAACAAATCACATAGGTGACAGAAAAGAATTGGCCAATTTCATGTGTATCTAGTAAAAGTTATAAAAGCATGAAGGCTCCATTATTCTATAAGCACTTACTTTTAAGGGCAAGTATATGCTAGATTTTTTTAAAAAAACAAACAAATAGAAGACTTTTATTCAAGATCATTTACTGGGGTCCTAATATGCCATATTGAGGTTACATCCACAACCCTACTCAGACCTCAGACTGTAGCCCTTCTAACCAGGCTTCATGAGTTTATGGACTTGGTTGCTCACTCAGAATGCTTTGGTTTGATTTCTGGCTCTGCCACCTACCAGCTGCATAAATTGGGACAAATTACTTAAGGTCTCTGTGATTCATTTTTCACATTTGTAAATGGGGATAATATTACAATAGAAACTGTAGAAATGAATAAAAAATGAAACAATAATTGAGACACGCTTAGACTAGTACCTGTACAAATAAATATTTCTAAAACTATTAGTTAATACTGTTCAAAAAAGTAAACCTTGTTTCCAGGCATTTATAGAGACTGAAGAGGTCTTTGGTCTAAACTAAATTAAGTCTTTTTTTTTTTTTTCCATATTTGTGAATGAGTCTCATCACATTATGTATGTATTTCACTCCTAAGTTTCACTTTCACAAACTAAAGAAACAGAGAACCTTGGAAGAAAATCCAATATTATTGAATCTGATTTAGAATGGACTGTTTTTCCCAGAACAAAGGGAAAATTATTCTAAAGCACCATTAAATAGCATAAAGTAAAAAATAAAATAATACACCAAAAGATATCTATAAGAAAAATCAGGAAATCAGAGATATTCTAAAGTTAAGAGGATGGGTCAGGCACAGTGGCTCACACCTATAATCCCAGCACTCTGGGAGGCCAATGTGGAAGGATCACTTAAGGCCAGGAGTCTGAGACCCTGTCTTTCTTAAAAATAATAAAAATAATAAAATAAAATAAAGAAGATGAAGGCTAAAGCAGAGGTTGTTAGTATCCCAATACTCATTCTCCCATTCTCCCAAAATAATAGAACATTTATTTAATATGTAGTCATCCAAAAAAAAAAAAACTATATTCTTAGCTTCCTTGCACCCAAGTGTGACTACCTGACTGGGCTGGGGCCAACGGGATGTAGATATCATATGACAGATACCAGGGACCGTCTTGAAGAGAAAACTGGTCCAGGCTCTTGTTTCTATCTTTTCTGCCTCTCTTCAGCCCTCTGACTGAAAAAAAGAGGCTGATTGAATCATGGGGAGAAGGTCACATGCAGGGCCAGTCTGTGTGGTTGTTTTGATGGTGTGGCGCACAGCTGCATATGGGTCACAGAAGCACACTGGGAAGAGAGGTACTAAAGCTAGATGCAGCCAAGGTCCCTGCTACTTGGGAAACCACACTGTATCAGCCCTGGACAGCTGGACTCTAGATTTGATTTGTGAAAGAATAAAATTTTGTATGATTAAGCTGCTGCTAACATGGGTTTTGTATTGTGCGAAGTCAAACATGATCTAATGTATACAGACAAGAATGTCTAATTGTCTCTTTCCACATTTATACTGAAATGCAGTGAAAAATTTCATTGCAAGGGTTAAAGCAACTCTACAACTAGAAATGTAGTCATTGTATACAATTCCTCTTGAAAATGTGTAGACAATTGGCCAGACCCAAGAAGAAATTTTACTAACCAAAGTACAGACAGCAGCTATAATTAGAAGGGTAGGTTAAGGTGTTTCTTTTTTAATGGGGTGGGGGTTCAATATGAAATGCATTATTCATAAAAGAAATAAACAAACACCTTTTTTATTTTCTGTATACTTTTCTGAAATATTCAAAAATTGTTAGTGACCATATACTATTTTTATGATAGAAAATCTTAAATGCACAAATAAAAATAATGTAATAGTTAAAACATAACTTGACAAAAACATTATTATTAAGAGTCAATACATTTTTTTCATAGAGATATTATCTACTTCTTAGATACCCTCTGCTTAACCCTACAAAACAGGAACTTTCCTGCTTTTATTCCACTATACCTGGAGGATCTTCATCAGTTTAGTGCCCATATCTCATTTCAAATAGTATGAAACTGGCTAGCCTTGAAGGTATTTTTCAATATCGGCTTCTCAATGATACCTTCCTTTTTGTACAAGTGATAGCTCTTTCCCTAAACCCTAATATCAACTCTTGTAGCATGTGTCACTTTTTCATTATACTATTAGTAAGCATATTTTATTTATTTATTTATTTATTTATTTATTTATTTATTTATTTATTTATTTATTTACTTTTGAGTTAAAGTCTCACTCCATCGCCCAGGTTGGAGTGCAGTGGCTCACTCATGGCCATCCCAGCCACTACCTGCTGAGCTCAGGCGATGCTTCTGCCTCAGCCTTCCAAGTAGCCGGAACTACAGGCAGGTGCTACCATGCCCGACTAATTTTTTGCTTTATTGTAGAGACGAGGTCTCACCGTGTTGCTCAGGCTGGTCTCGAACCTCTGGGCTTAGGCAATTCTCTTGCCTTGGCCTCCCAAAGTACTGGGATTACAGGCTTGAGCCACTGCACCTGGCCAGTAAACATATTTTTTATCTCTAAGACTATTACAAAGTTCTCTGCAGCATGTAGTTCTTCTTTGTCTTTCTATTCATCTATTCATTCATTCATTCACATGTTCACTTATTTAACTGACAACTGATTATCAGATATTTTTCTATGATATGCCAGTTATTGCATAAGATACAGGGAAATATGAGGAAAAACAAAACATATTTGTCCATTCAGAGGGAGCTGACCATGATAAGAGGAGACAAAATGACAATAGGCATACTTAATACAACGTGAAAATGTCTACTGGAGAGAGATGTGTATAATAACAAAAAAAGAGTCTTTATTTCTACTTGAAGAAAGTCAGGACAGCCATTGCAGCAGTCTTCAGTTGTGAATTAATTCTTTGCAAGGACTAAAAGGCACTTTCCAGGCTGATGAGATGATTGGATGAAAACTGGGGTGGGGGGATGAAGAACATGAAGACCGTAAAAGAGAAAAAACACTGCAAGGAAGGAAAGTTAAGTTTTGTGTGGCTGAATATCAGGGTGTGAAGAGAGGTTTGAGAGGGACTAGGAGCTTTGAACATCACATTTCATCTTGTGCTTTGAACACAGCACAGACTTAAAAGTTTGCTGACTGGTGCAGCTATTGTACTATGTAGTACACAGCAGGCACTGTGTACACTGGTTGACTGACCACGCTGCATGAGATATTTAGGGGACAGAAAGCCTGACTTCATCACTGAGTTGCAATGCACTGCCTCGACTTTCTCATGTCCTCAGACAAGGAGACTGAGCCAATATTTCAAGTGGTATAATGTGACTTTCAGAGGAAAAAAAAAAGTTATGTTAGTAAGTAGCCAGACCATTGTTACTTCATAGTCTATTAGAAATCTTGACTGAATTCAGTAAATGTGGTCACCCAAATGATGTATTGCTATCCTAGTTAAGGAACTTCTGATAGAACACAACCTAGTTGCCCAAAATGAGTTTCCTCAGGAAAAAAAAAAAAAAAAAAACAGAGCTAGTCCACTGCACAATTTGAAGTAAGTGAACATTATATTAAATGATCAAGGCAGCAGAAGTTATAGGTTCAACTGAGAAGGATAAAATTTAATACTGTAAATATAAAATATTAATGGTTTTTCAGGGATATATTCTGATAAATTAAAATATTAGTTTTAACAAAGAAAGAAATTGCATACCAGATGACAACCTCTGCTATTTTTTCACTTACAAGAATTTTCCAGCTTCTATATTCAGGCATATTTTTTCTAAGGGCAAAGTATTTGTAATAGAATTTTCTTATTATTTTTGATAGGAAAGGGTACTATTGCGTTTTCTGAATTTTTGTCTGAAGTTTTGTTCTGATGTGTTGCATTTCCAGAGCAGAAGGACAAGGAGCAGAATTGGTGTCAACACATACATAAAGGTCCAACAAAGAAAAGAAGTTGGTTTCATACCTTCAATAGGTTTTGGTACAAAATGTGATGAGGGCTTGGTTTTCTTCACTCTGTTCCCCTTCATAATTTGACCTTCTTTATTGAGTCCTAGAAACCATGCTCGGCCTGATTCTTGCTGGCGGTACAGTGTGGAAGAATAGATTACATAGTAGTTTTCAAACACAGACTCCTTAAATTTGCACTCTGGAGTGAAAACATCCTGCATGAAAAAAAAAAAGGAGATACAGAAAAGTGAACGGCTTTCACATGAATCAGTAAATGGTTAAATCCAGTGAGCTTGACACATATGTCTTCTGTTAAGAACAAATGAGAGGCAACAGCACATAATTTCTATTAGCATTTGATTATAAAGATTTGTTGCATTAATCAAGAAACATGATTTCCTCTCTAGTCAACATTTACTCCAGAGAACACAACTGCTCAGACTTAAGTCATTTATTAGGCTAAAATAATTTAAGACTGTGGCCAAGACAGAACTCTGAGCCTAACATAATGTTTTGTAAATTGAAATGATTGGCCATTCCTCATTCTAGTGGTTCTTAGCATGTAAATAAGGCTCTAGAATTTATTCCTTGGAATCAAAATCAATAACCCCGGCAAACACAAGTTCACATTGGGTTGTGTTTTGAAGGAACTACCATATATGCGCAAAAAATTTATTACCAGAGCCACAGCTTGCGCCATAAAAATTTATTACAGAGCCACAGCTTTGCCTAATGCCAGCAGCTTTCTCTTTAACTTCTTTAAAACTTAAAAAAAAATTTTAATATAATAATTAAAATCTGAGACAAAAACAAATCAGGAGCAGTAGAACAAAAAGTACACTATCATCATATTGAATAAACTTCAGTGAAATATAGAATAAGAGTTTTAGTCCCAGAAGAAACCATAAGATCCTCTGCTTCAACTCTATCATTTGATAAGTGAAAAAAACGAAATATTTATGATTTATTCAAATTATGAGAGGGGATCCCAAGAATAGAATTATTTTTTGGAGAATGGGTTCCTTGTAGTACAGGCCTCCAGGTAAGTGTTCTAGGAACCTATTGATAACAGTGTACTAGGCTAGTATTGTTTTGAGAGGTTGTGTTCAGCTTCGGTTATATTTTTTTAAAGATTCAGTGTTTGACCATTTCATGATGGGTGATTTACATGAACAACCTGCCCACACTGCACTGAGTGTTCAGCAGTTTTTTGACCAAAAATGATATGGCCCCAGTGTCCCACCCTCTCTATTTACCAGATCCCACCCTGGGTGACTTTTTTTGTTTCCCCAGATGAAAAAAGTCTTCAAAGGGAAACATTTTGCTGATGTGGAAGAGGTGAAACAAAAAATGGCAGAAGCGCTAAAAGGCATCGAAATTGACTAGTTCAAAAAGTATTTTGAGCAGTAGAAAAATATCTTGATAGGAGTATTGCATCAGATGGAGACGACTTTGAAGGTGATTTAAGTTTAAACATGTAAGAATTAATACATATTTTTAAATAAATAAAATCCATTTTGGGGGTCCCCTTCATACATTAAAAAAAAAATTACAGAGTCAATCAATGCCAGAACTCACATTTATTGCTTCACAACCACTAACCACTGCCTTTCAAGCTTACCTTTTCTGACTGACTCTCGTTTAGTGACTTACAATGAGATTTTTAAAATCAATGCAACAAAATTATATCCTAACATGTCAAATAAACAAAACTGTACTTTATGGAAAGAAAAAAAATATTTCCCCTTTTGAGATAAGCAGAAAAAAAAAATGTGATAGCATCTTAATCATCTACAGGTAAATAAAAATCCGACATGTCAAACATTCATAGCAATCACTCTCTTCTTCACTATGTACTGGAAGAATTTCAAATTGCAGCTCCCATTATTTAAGGCAAGTAAACCTTAAATGAAGTTATTGATGAATATAGGAACAGAGTTGGTTAAAACCATGTCTTTGTAGGTGATACTCCCAGGCTAGTCTCCTGGCTCCATTCCTGGAGAGCTAAGTGATGCATAGATGGGAGACTGGTGAAGGCCTTTGGTGTTAATGACATTGCTTAAGGATCCTTTGATTTTATTGTTCTCTCTCTCTCTCTTTTTATGTTTAAGAGATGGCGTCTCACTATGTTTCCCAGGCTGGCTTTGAATTCCCGGGTTGAAGTGATCCTCCAGCGGTAGCCTCCCAAGTAGTTGGGACTACAAGTATATGCCACTGTGCCTGGCCTCTTTTTAAATGGTTCTAACATTACAAACCAAAATATGAGACTAAGAAAATAGGAATGAAAAAGTGGTTATAGACATTAAAATATGATAGTAATAATAAGTGTTATTTTTGTATTAATACTAAAATATGATTTTTCAGAGTACAGTTAGTTTTAAATATGAGTAAACTAACTGACTTAACAATCAGAGAAACAGGTAGAGTGGCTCATGTCTGTAATCCCAGCACTTTGCAAGGCTGAGGTGGGAAGACTGCTTGAGGTTGGAAGTTCAAGACCAGCCTAAGCAACATAGCAAGGCCCCTGTTTCTAGAAATACATAAATTAATGAATACATAATGAATTAATGAATACATAGTGAATTAATGAATATATAAATAAGCAGGCCAAGCCTTGTGCTTCATGCTTGTAGTCCTAACTACTTAGGAGGATGAGGTGGAAGGATTGCTGAAACCCATGAGTTCCAGGCTACAGTGAGCCATGATCATATTACCACACTCCAGCCTGAGTGACAGAGTGGGACCCTGTCTGAAAAGTAAAATAAAATGAAGTAAAACAAAATAATCAGAGACACAAATGACTATGAGTTAATTTAAATCCACTATGATAGCTATAATTTAAAAATAGACAATAAAGAGTGTTGATGAGGATGTAGAAAACTGCAACTCTCATCCATTGCTGGTAGAAATGTAAAATGATGCAGCAGCTGTGGAAAATAGGTGGGAAGTTCCTCAAAGTTTAAGCATACAGTTACCATAAGCTCCAATGATCCTACTTTTAGGTATATAACTGAGAAAAATGAAAACATATGTCTACATAAAGGCTTGTACAGAAATATTCACAGCAGAATTATTCAAAATGTGAAAACAACCTAAAGATCTATCAACTGATGAATAGGTAGACAAATTGTGGGATCTCCATACAATGCAATATTATTCAGTTATAAAAAGGAACAGAATTCTGATTCATGTGGCAACATACACTTAAAAAACATGATGTTTCATGAAAGAAACCAGAAGCAAAAGGCCACATGGTTCTATGATTCCATTTACATGAAATGTCCTGAATAAGCAAAACCAGACTGAAAGTAGAGCAGTGGTTGTCAAGGATTGGGAGAGGGGGTGGAATGGGTAATGAAAAGTGCTTTTTTTGAGAGATGAAAATGTTCTGAGATTAGATAGTGGTGATGTTTGCACAGTTTTGTGAATATACTAAAAACAACTAAAGCATACATAGACTTTAAAATGTAAATTTTATGGCATGTACATGATATCTCAATAAAAAATCAGAGAAACAAAGCTACTAAAGAAAGTGAAGAAACAAATGAAATGACTGCACATTCCTTGTCTGGCAGTACGAGACCAAATGACAACCTGGGTGAAGGAAAACTGGCTCTTCCATGGCCTTGTCTCAATATTATCAGACAGTTTTAACAATGCCAAATAGAGATACCAATGTGATTCGGAATCTATTTATATGATAATTTTAAGTTCTAGCTCTTCTAAGTCTAGGTTAAAAGATTTTTTAAATGCTCAAATTTTGGTACAGATTTTTATTAATTTTCTTTTTTAAATGAATCAAAAATAATTCCAAGGCTTTTGTTTCCAGATCTAGTCCAAAACTAACAAACATGATATTAACCCTAGATGCTATGCTAAGGAACTCTGGAAAGATCAAAGGAGAAATGCTATGTATAATATTTTAGACTTTATAATAGGAGTTAGGAAAAATAACTTCTACTGTGTATAAATGCATATCATCAGATATGTAGATGATGATACCACCTCCTTTCTCATGTGTATACATCATAAAAATATAAATTTGAAGATAGATATAAGGCTGCTTTGGAATAGCACAATTTGGCACCTTTATTTAACAAGGTAACTAAAGCTTATGATAGTGAATTAATTGTCCTCAGTGTCAAAGGAAGTCAGAGATGGATCCAGACCCTGCGCTTGAACAATAGGTTCCTGGCTGCTGGTTCAGTACCTCTTCCAATGCCACACAATGATTTCCTTCTGCCGTCCAGGCCTGCTTTTGATGCCAAACTGTTGATTCCAGCAAGCCTTAGTCATTATCATAAAAACCACATCAGTGACATGTAATTACTATGTTGTCATTTATACATGAGGGAATAACACTTCCACTTAATAAATAATGAACTCCTAGGTTTGTTTTAAGTCCCTTTCTGGAACAGCAAGAGTCCATGATATTGCACAGGGGCTGGAGTCCTGGGACCCTAAGCCAGGAACACCATTAGATAGGGACTGGTCCTTGAACTACTGAATTGACAAGTAAAGGACCCTATACACAGTATCCAGGCCCTAATTGAAAATGAAAAGCTAGTGAAGTACTGCATGTCATATCAACAGGGGCATGTGGGGTCAGAATTCGAAAATGAGTCATACCTCATCAAGGCAAGACATTTCAGGAGGAAATATGGCAGGAGTTTACTGCAGGCACTTCTGTGGCAGGATTTTACAGGCAGGCTCCCTTAGGAACTGGAAGGGAAACTTTAAGGATACTGAGCCAGCCTGGACAATCACTAAGTACAACCTTTACAATAAATATGCAACTTCAATTTCAATATGGAGTTGGGCATCAAATAATTTACATTGTATCTGCTATTATCCCTCTTTCTGTTAAATAAAAAAATCAGAGCCCTAGACTTGAAATAAAAATATCCAAAGAGTTTGCCTTCTGGCTCCATGCATACTAACTGTGGGACTTTAGGTAAACTTTTGAATTTCAAATTTTTCTACTATAAATTGAATTATTTTAAAGAAAATAATTAACTAGCATTTTCAAGATCATACAGCTAAGGGAACTGAATCAGTACCGCCAGTCACTTCTATCTTATATAATCTTTGCTGTTTTTCTGATTTACAATATTGTTATATTTCCTTCAACAAGAATGAATTGGGTGCTGAATGTCCTGGACTTTATAAAAGCATTGATGAAGAACATGTCTCTGTCAGCCAAAGCTTACCATGT